TATAAAATTTAAGAAAAATATCAACATAGAGGCAAGCACATATTTTGTAGATGCAAAAATTACATAAAGACACAAAACCAAAACCAAAAAAAAACCAAAATAAAAACAAAAAAAACCCAAAAACTTTATACACACACACACACACACACACACACACACAAAGTTTATATATATTAAGTGTGTGTGTATGTATGTATATACTAAAGACCTGTATGATTAAAACCAAGAAAACAACAAAGAGCTCTGACAAAGCTTTATGGGAAAAGAGCCTCCAAAAGTGCCACTGAGTTCATTTTGTGTTGGCCCTCTACTGATGGGCATTGGGCCTGGCCTTAAGAGTGATTTGTACACGCAGTGAGACTCAGTTGGAGAAAACTAATTTTCCCATTCACTAATGGTGATCATTTGGAGACAGTTTCTGGGCTAACAATGTGGTCTTATGAGCACTTCCCCTCTCATCATGGGACTCCCATCGGTCCAGACCTGTGCAAATTCTGTGCATGCTACCACAGATTCTGAGACTTCATATTTGTACTGTCCTGCTGTCATTTAGTTCCTTGATGTCCTTCATCTGTTCTGCCTCCTCTACGGGTTGCCCTGAGCCCTGAAAGAGGGGAATTGATGGAGACATCCCATTTAGGATGCTCTCTCCACAGCTTGTCTAGCAGTAGGGTCTCTGTGTTTATTTGCATCTACTGTAGTGAAAACCTCTGCTGATGGTTGAGGATGACTGTGAATTGAGGAGTTCATAAGCTGTTAGGAGTCACTGTACTCTGATGTCACTCCAGCAGAATGGCAGTATCTCACTTTCCCTTAACGTCTCTGGCCTGTCTAGTCTCAGGTACTTGGCTGCTCAAGCAGCGTCAGGCATAGGTTCCATTTGATGAAGTGGACCTTAAATTTAATCAGGTATTGGTTGGTGACTCCCAAAAGCTTTGTGCCACTACTGCACTAGCACATCTTGCAGGGAGGACACCATTGTTTACCTAAGGTATTGTAGCTGGATTAATGTTTACCTTTCTCATTTGGAAGTGTGTAGAGTAACTTCGAGTATCATGAACACTGTAAAGTAGGAATGAATGGTTTACACAGGCACCAGTTCGACTTCTCCATATTTAATGAATTGTGCAGGTGTTTTCTTCAGCAATAGGTCTATGGGGTCTCTTTGACCAAGACTTAGATTATATATGACCCACTCCTGGAACTGGAGGCTTTATTTGGTGATGAGAGATGTTTAGTTGGGGTTTTTTTTCCCCATTACCCCATTACTTGGCCATTCTGTTTAGATCACCTTCATATGTGTTTTAGAAAGCTTCTGCTGGACTACGTTTCCATATGACCCCTTAAATGACCCTTAGTTTTTGCTGGCCTCAACAAGTTCTTTCCTTTACTGACCTCCCTACTCTTCCTCCCTGTTTGGTCCTATTGTTCCAGCACCCGCACCCACAATATCCATTCATAACTATCTATTCTATCTGCCTTTCCTAAGATAGTACAAACCTCCCCTACCCCTGACACACCAGTTCCTAACTCTATACCTAACCTCTAGTTATGTGAATTGTAGCCTGCTTATCGACTTAACAGCTAACATTCACGTGTAAGTGAATGTATATCCTATTGTCATTTGGGATCTAGGTTGTTTTATTCAAAATAATTTTTCCAGCTCTATTTATTTATCTGAGAATTTTATGATTTCATTTTTTAACAGCTAAGTAATAGTCTATTGTATAAATGTACCACATTTTCCTCATCAATTCTTCCGCTGAGGGACATCTAGGCTGTTTCTAATTTCCGGCTACTACGAATAGAGCAGAAATGAACAATGGTGAGCAATTGGCTCTGTAGTAGGATGTAGAGTCCTTTGGGTATATTTCCAAAAGTGATATTGTTCAGCCTTGAGGTAGATCAGTTCCCATCTTCTTGAGGAACCACTGTACTTATTGCCATAATCGGTGTACAAGTTTGTACTCCCCCAGTAATGCATGTCTCTTACTCCACACTTTGCCATCATTAGCTGTCATTCTTTTTTTGGTCTTGGCCATTCTGACTGGTGTAAGAAAAAAAAATCTCAAAGTAATTTTGATTTTCATTTCCCTGAAGACTAAGGAGTTGAGTATTTCTTTAAGTACTTCTCAGTTATTTGTGTTTGATTTCTTCTCTAGTCATCTAACCCCTGGGGTGGTGTAATCCACCTTCACATTGGCTCTTGCCTTCCCAATAAAACCTCTCTGGAAACTCCTTTACAGATAGGTTTATGAGTGTTTCCCCTTGATTATCTAAATCTAATCAAGCTGGAAATGAAGATTAACCAGCCCAGAAAGCATGCTAAGAAAATGAAATCCTTATGTCAAAGAGCTTTCCTCACTCTTTTGTTCCCTGAAGGCCTGTCAAAGATGCCCATGCGAGTATTCTGGTGTTCATAAACAGGCTAATAAAGAAAATCTGGGACAAACATGCAATGCAAACTCCTAATATTTTAAGTGAGTGAAGTTTACTTTTTACTCATTTGGGAAGACATTGTAAGAGCAGATTGATGAACCTCTACAGAACAGTTTGGGATTTTTCTTTCTACATAAACATCCTATGCTAAACATTGAAGGCATATGTGTGCTGGACAAGTCTACTCTTGCAAATCAATCACTAATTATTTTGCCTTCTAATACTGCCTTCTACAGTAATTAAAGTTGTGGCAAGGAAGGGAGGATTTTGTAATTGCCTTGCTCTCGTTCTGATGGGAAATTGGATTTGAGTCTACAAATATCATTATACCATTTCACATTTAAAGAAAAGATACTTTTATGGTGACCTTGATTGAATTTTGAATTGTGACCTTTTTATCCAAATGTACAATTCTTCTAAAAAAGTTATAGTAAGTAAAGGTTTTTCCAGGTACAAAATAAAATTCTGTGAAATACAATAGCAAACTTGTTTATTAAATCATAAAATGTGAAAGAGAATATATTTCTAAAAATTTGTATTGTGTGACCAGTAGATGCCCCTTGAAATGATCATGCTCCAACACACTTTTTATGAAGACAGAAAGATTTGCTTTTATCTCTGCATGGACGTTGCAGGGAGAAATCATTCCGCTTTGGATCTGTCTTGCCAAAGCCTGGCAGACAGCAGGGATAACAGGCTAGCAGGTGTGAAATGATAATTAAAGATATTAATTGTGTTTGAATGCATTTCATGACTCCTGTTAACTTTTATAGCTCAACTTCTCCTGGATGAGACTTAATTCTAAAGCAAGACTTGCCCCAAAGCTTCTAGCCTCGTCAAGCAAAAAGAAGTACTTTACTTCCATGCTTCAATCACAGCAGACACTTGGTATTCTTGTCTCTGAAAACTGTTATTGAAGTCAATACCAGGAATACTTATTTCTGTAGGGAAGTTAAATCCTGCTGGGATTCTAAGCCAGTGATCTCAAAATACTAATATTTTAAAATATTCTGAATATATTTGAGTTTCATATTCTCATATGGCTGTGTGGAGTATTTAAAGAATTACAGGCCTGATACTAAAATCTATTTCAGTATATTCCTAATAAATGTGAATATTAGCAATGCAAGCATTACTGAATCTATCAATAAATGAACGTTTCATATCAGAATAGATTATGTATGAAATGAAGATTGCTTCAATTATTTCACAATTTAAAGTTTTGTTACCAACAAAATACTTACATATAGAACTAGCTATGAAATTCATCTATCAGAAAGCATGCACTGGTTCTGCAGATATATAAATTTTTAATAGCATCATGCCATTACAAGTAATTATTTTGGATTACCAAAGGTCTTGAATTCCCCCATGTAATGGGACAGTGATTGTGATTAGTGGTATTTCCTTGACATAAGCATCCCCATAGTTTAAATTTACCTTGAGACTTAATGATTGAAACAATAGACCTGGTAGTTCTTAAGCATTTTCTGTTTTATATATGCTATCATCACTATCCAATGGTTTGGCTTTAGTTTTCAGTGACAAATGAAGCTATTTTATTTATGGATTCTCTAAGGACAGGGCGCTTACAGGTAACATAAGGCTCCAACAGCCCTTTATGGAAAGCAAAGATCAGGAGTCAGGTGCTATGAGTCTTCTAGAAAATAGTACAGCTGTTTCAGCTCCTGAAGACAACCGAGACTCCATCTGGAGTCATTCTTATACCTCTCTACCTATATGACTCAGATACCTGCATATGCCAGCTTCATTCCATCTCTCTACAACCTGCTATTCTCTTCTTGCTAATCATTTGAACACGTCTTTTGATTTTCCACACCCAAAATGGTGTCAACAACACCTTCTACCCACGTGAGCTACAGAACAACTGGTTCTCTCTGGGTGCCTTAGCTGAAACACCACAAAAAAGACAATAGATGCTTCTATAGTTTAGAGTCAAAATCTTGGGTAACTTTTACTGGGTTGTGGATTTCTCATGCACGCTACCTGAGAAATAGTCATAATGGAAGCCGTCATGAAAGGATGGATGTAGACGGTAGAACTGAATGCTGGCCCTCTGCTTCTCTTCAAAAGAACCAAAATTATTGAATTCACTATATTTGGACTTATATAAGTTACTGTGATCTTTACCACCTTGATTAAGTTTTAGATATCAGTAGCCCCAATTTAATCAGTTCCATAATTAATTGAAAACAAATGTAGATTAGCTGGTATTAAAAAGAACATGAATACATTTCACTAATATAAAATTGTGTCTTGAAAACTTACACAAGCTTTAATGTAATGAACAATATATATATATATATATATATAATGTAACTTACACAAGCTTTAATATAATGAAAAATATATATGTATATACATATATCAAACTGAATAAAGATCTAGTAAATTAAGGTTTGGGTTAAAGAAAACTTTGATCCTTTCTTTTTCAACATTTATATTCAAACTGTAATAATTTCAGGATACCTCAAACTAATATAAAGTAAAATACATAGTAATATATTGAGAATGTATATGCATACTATTCTATTTTTCAGATTAATTTTTTGAAGACTGAAGTAGAAAGAAAGAGCAAAATGATCCGTGACCTACAGAATGAGGTAATTTTCATGTTACAAGAAAATTGTACACTAATCAAAGAATATACAAAAAAATACATGTAGACTTTTAACCAGAAGTTTGGAGAATTTGAGTGCTCAGCTGAGCCACAATAATATAATAACGAGACCAAAAGCTGCAATGGGCTAAGGAAGAAGAACGGATTTTATTCCATTGATTTTTATTTTTCAAGATGATTAGAAACTACTTCTAGGTTTGAATATTAAATCTGATTTTTAATTTATTGTTCTCTGCTTGCAGAAGCCCCTGTTAAAGATTATCATCTAAGGTTTCTAACTGCCCTAAAATGTTAAGAAATGATGCATGTGGATATTTACTTTACAAACGGCAGTTTTAAATTCCTTAAAAATATTCTATAAATGAAGTAAACAGCAAAAGAACTAAATGTCAATGAACATTGTTGTAGAGAAAAATCTAGTAAATTAAAAAGAAAACCCACTTCAGTTCAACACTGAAAATATATGGCTGTAAATCTCTCTAAGGTAATCATTCCATCTTCTTGCCTCAGTGAACACAGTGCTGTGAAGGGGATAAGGTATTTCATAATGTAATGGAGTGCTTCGTGTCACTATTCTCAATGGATTCCTGCACTGTCCATAGATGAATAGGTGGTAAGTCTTGCCTCACATACACCCTGAGCCCAAGATGCACTCGGGATATTTTAGTAATATTTCCTTGCAATGTTCTAACCTTAATTCTGGTGACCATTGTTGGCTTACCCCAACAATGGTAAGCCGTTCTTGGGATGACTTTTGACCAGCCCATTATTATGTGTAACTCTGGCATAGCCTTGACGACATACTTTGAATCATCCTCTTGAGTCCCTAGAGCTACTGGGGACAGTGCCAATGACCAGGAAGCTCAGCATGGTAGAACTTAGCTGCCTCAGGGATCTGGAGGCAAGATGTCAGAAATAAAATCAGTGTAGCTCAGGTCTTTCTGAAGGCTTGGAACATGATCCCTCCCAGTTTCCTCCTAACCTTAAGGTAGTACCACTCCCTGACTTGGAGGAATGCCACTCCAGTTCATGCCTGTGGCTCCGTGAGGACTCTCTTCCATGTCTAAAGGTGTTATATACCATCTCCTTTACATATAAACATCCATTACTGAGCTTTAGTACCCAGTCTACTCTGTTATGACGTTGTCTTGTTGTGATTGCATGTGCAAAACTCCTAGATGTCAATAAGTTGGCATTCTGAGTTTCCAAGTGGATGTGAATATGATTTTGGTAGTTTTCAAATCATTCTAGTGGTTTTGGTCTCTGATGTATTAACAAAAGTATCTTAGCAACTTTTAATAGGCAAGGATCAGAAATATTGAGTGTAGACTGCATGTCTTTGGAAAGGAATAAAGAATTCAAACTTTGGAATGTTCACCAACCACAGAAAACAATGCTTTATTTCTTATAGTAAAAATAATTATTAGTTACATATTCATGTGAAGAAAGTGTTTAATTTTGATGGTTTATTGTTGCTGGGTGCAATTTCAAGCAAGCTAACTAGCAAAGAATACATTTTGCTTTCTAAATCAAGGTTGGAAGTGTCTATTATAAGAGGCTTTACAGTAAAGTTAATGTGATTGAAATGACCAAAGTGTAATACACAGAAAAATAAATATGAAAATGGCCTCTATCGTATATGGCTATAGCAAAGAACTTTCTATTCAGTGAGGGAATTTTGACTTGGCATTTCAGAGGTAATGCTTGCTCATTGTAGAGATAACTCATTCTCTCAGGGAAGTTGACGGCCTGCTTAGAAACCCCCTCATTTCAAGTTGTGAGCAACTAATTCCACTATGTAAATTATTACTGAAAATACTGGTGAGCTACTTACATTTGCGGAAGTTTAAAATCAGTCAATTTGGTAGTTCATCCATGTTCACAGCATATCGGCACCATTTTTTTTTCTTATCTCATTTTAAGAATTCTTCATAAAGATGATAATTCTTCATAAAAAACTCAATGTAAATTTTGGTTTTGTGTCATTTGTTAAAGTCACTTTACCATTTTTCTACTTTGAATTGTTGACATTTTAGAACATGTGAAAACAATACACATTAGACACTTGAAACTTGTTAAAACCCCAACAATGGTAAGCAATTACGGTCATCATCATTATTAGATATTGAGGTAATTAACTCATTAATCTGTGTGCTTTGCATAAGTATTTTCTTAGTAATTAATGGCTTAAGCAATCAAAACTTGACAAATAAAAATATCAAAGTATACTTGGCCTCGCTCTATCCTGTACTCACAGACATCATAGACATCCTCATAGTCTCTCTACAAAGTAAACAAAAGTCCCAGCCATTCACTTCACACACACTCTATCAAAGGAACAGGGAATAATGATAATTTTCTTGGCTTGTTTTAACAGAAATTGCCAGAGAAGATTCTAAATTACTGGCATGCCTACAGCAATCATTATAGCCAGGGAAATAGGTAGTTTAGTTAGTCATGTCTTCTTCACACTTCAGTCGATAGGTTGTGTAGGCTTTATTCAACTTAAATCAAATAGATTTCCCTTGAGAAAAGAAGGTTCACTAGAGAAGAAGAGAAGATACCAGAGCGATAAAAGAAAATCTATCTTGGAACATACTGACATTTCTATTACCTCCTGACTTCCAAACTCTTTCCTATGGTAAACTCCAGACAATAGAGGGTAAATCACAGTTTAATAATTTGGGATGCCCAAGGCAAGCAGAATATACTGAAATATTGTGTCTCTCCCAGAGTTGCTCTTTCATTCTAGACTTCCTCCTCATTCTAAATCTGTTAGGAGTCTACAGTCTTCCTGTTGTGTGTATCTTTCATGTGTTTATCATCTCCACATCAATGGTGGCAGAAAACATCTTCTGACATAACACAAGACAAACAATCCCCTCCACGTCTGTGTCTTGAGAGAAATGGTGAACTGCTTTCATTTTAGTCTTCCTGGGGTCATTATTCCATGACTCTCGCTTTCCATCTCCTCAGCTCTATGCACCCCAGAACCAGCATCATCGCTGCTCTATGGGCCCACATAGCTTTTGAGTGTCAGCTTGTCATGGTTTCTCCATCTTAGTAGAACCTTACTTAGTCGTCACTCAAACACGTGAACTGAACACAGGAGAGTTAAGAAGTTACAAATTATTAGAGATTTAAGAAAAGTATATTTGTGAGAAATTCCATTGCAGGAAACCTAGGAAACTAAAAGGAGCGCTTCTCGCATGAGAGGGCAGATGAATGAACCCCATGTGTGAAATGTTAGAGGAAGAAGGTAAAAATTCCAAATATAAAAATATTACTTAGAGCAACTAAAGTGGAAACCAGAATCTCCCAAAGATCATTATTTCAATGTCATAAAAATAATTCCTCTGTACTATACCTAAATAAAAATCCATGAACTTCCCTTTTAAGACCATTTGTAGTCTCATAAAATTAATGCATAATGGAAATCTTCATATCTTACTCTTCGACCCCTCCTAGCATTTAATGTTTCTGGATTGGATTACATAGCCACTAATCTACTTGTCATTCACACTCTGCACTATATATATTAACAGGCATAAAGTCTGCCTATTAATATATAGTAAGTGTGTAGTGCAGTTATGTTAACAATAAGAATATTGATTGTTTTCTAATTGACAAGAATGAAGACTAACTTTTCAGTATTATATCATCCATGCATTTTCTTGACTATGTGAGACTTTTGGTCAATGCTTGTTGAGTAAAACTAAATAATCCTTGAGCAAAGAAGTCAAGACCATGATGAGGTCACCCACTGAAACAGTCTACCTGAGCTAATGGGAGCTCACCAACTCCAGCCAAACAGGGAAAAACCAGCAGAGGACAAAATTAGTTCCTCTGAATGTGGGTGATAGTTGTATGGCTGGAGCAGACTGTGGGGCCACTGGATTTATCCCTACTGCTTGAACTGAGTTTTGGGGAATTTATTCTCTTTGGATAGAAACCTTGCTCAGCCTAGATATAGTAGGGAGGGCCTTGGACCTTCCCCCAAAGCAATGAACCTTACCCACTATGAGGAGTGGATGCAGGGTAGGATCGGGGAGGGAATGGTAGGAGGGAAGGGAGTGGGGACTGGGATTGGTATGTAAAATAAAAAGATAGCTTCTTTTAATAAAATAAAATAAAAATAAAGCTATAAATGAATAAATAAATAAATAAATATGCCTTAACTAGTCTGTATTTTTCACAAATTGAGTAGAATGGGCAACTTTTAATATCACATAATAATGAAACTATGGAATTATGAGGATTATTTCTTTTCACATTTTCCATATGCATGTATGTTACTTACACATGCACATACAAGTAAATAAATAATAAAATACATTTCATATATAGAGAGAGTAGCTCAAAATCTTGAATATATAGAGTAGCTCAAAATCATGAATGATCAGCAAGGTGCATGTTAATCAGTTCTGCTAAAATATACTCCTGGTTTGTTTTTCTTTAGCAAAGAGAGACAGCTCTTACATCAGTTACTGATGTACTTAATTGAAAAAGCAAAAAAGTGAAAACAATAGAAATAAGGGATAGAAGAGAAGGAAAGAGAAAATAAACAAGGAAATATTAAAAAAAACCCCGAAAAACAAAAAACAAACATGATTCGTTCCCGCTCCCATTTTGATTGAGGTAACCCAGACCCAGAAAGACAATTTTCACATGTACTCAACCATATGTGGTTTTTAAGCATAAAGCAAAGAACACCATCCCATAAATCACAATCCCAGAGAACCTAGACAATAATGAGGACCCTAAGAGTGACATAAATAGATTTAATCTACATGGGAAGTAGAAAAAGACAAGACCTCCTGAGTAAATTGGGAACATGGGGTCCTTGGGAGAAGGTTGAAGGGGAGGGGAGCAGAGAAAAATGTAGAGCTAAATAACAACGAAAAGAAAAAGAAAAAAGAAAAGAAACAAAAAATGTAAAAACAAAACAAAAAAGTATGATGTGGGTTGAGATTCAAAATCTTC